TATAAACCTGATCCCAATAGCTTCAAAGCTGTTAGCGTCTACCATTCTTTTTAGATTGTATAAGAAGCATGAGGAACATGCCCGCAAAGAGCAACCTGTTCTTCGCGCCGGTCGGGTTGCATTGATCAGATCTTCACCCTCCGACAGTTACTAGAGCACCGTCAAGCTTAGGACAGACTAACGATCGTTGTGTTCTTAAACATTCACGCGACCCTTGACTCTGTCGATAGGACCGCACTATGGAGCTGTTTATCGAGGAATGGAATATCCGAGATGTATGTATCGATCTGCAAAGATTTGTATCGTCATACCTCGTAACTTCGTTAAGGAGCATGTTCTGCAGGACGTACTCTCTTTGCACGCGCTGGGCAAGTTTGAAATAAGCGCCACGGCGGTCAGACGATGACGTGGCGTGGAGATACGAAGAAGTTAGCTTCAGCATTGGCTTCGGTTGGTGCAGCTCGCCTTCCAGACTGCGGCCCAAGAGATGAAGATTGCTGATGGTTAGAGACGCTGAGAGATATGGTTCGAAATAGACGTTAATGGTGCGATTGCTGTGCGGTTGTTTGGCGAAACCCAATTCCCTATAGGAGACAAAAAACAATCTTCAAAAGGTCTACGGTGAAGCTGTAAAAAAGACATTCATTCATTCATTTGTTCTCCCTGTTCTTTGTTTTCCCCATTTTCGGTTCATTATCATTGTTCTGCGTTAGCACCATGCTTGTTCTCAAGCCGGTGTGAAATATAAACCCTGAACTCGGGTGCGGCACAGCACGGCACTTCACTGCAGCATATCTGTTCGTTCAAGATAATGTCATGGTGCGCAAATTTGGTACTTAGAAAACTGACTGAGAATTAAATCGGTATTTCGCAGATTTGCAGGACAATTACTCAAAGAAGCGGATGATCTTGTGTCTTCAAACTCCAATTGTGAAATTACTGTTTATGACTCAATTTTTTAGTTAAATTATCTAGAAGAACTCAAAATGTTCTATCGGACTGTGTTCTACACTGTGTATAGAATTGTCTTCGCTGCGTCACATTGGTGGTTTGAAGATGGTCATAGCGTCAATGTGGGCTGTCTGTCCGGTGGACTTTCAGGCTAGCCTTACTCAAGCGAGCACCAGACGTTTCCCATATTGTACGGTCGGGAACAATATCAAAAAGACCAATGGAAGTATTTTTTTCATGAAGAAGCATGAATAATTTCTCTCTGTCGTCGTGTTACTCGTTTTCTTACTTGGAAGAATAGCTCGTTTGTTCCTGTTTCACACACACACACCAACAGCCATCTTCAGTTTTGCACGTTCCCATGGGAATTCGTATACTTGCGCGGTCAGATGTCGACTTTTTCAGATGCAGATTTACTCAACCGCAGTTTTCGTCTGATACGACAGTCGAGCGATGCGTGTTAGCGTTGGTCAATTTGCGTCTGGTGCCGGAGATTGATAAATAGCTACAAATAACTACTGGTCAACATTCTTATCATATCATGTCATGTGTTGCGGGTAAACGAAGCGGAATTATGTAAGAGGGGTTGCAGACACCGAAGCCTGATTGTTCCAGATCTTTCTGTTGGTGGATATGTGCTTTGTTTGTACCCATTCTGCTTGGAATTGGTACCTAGTTTATTGGTTTCCTCAATCTGAGTCGTTATGTGGATTTCATCCGGTTACCTATGTTGAGAAGAAAACGGATTTTCCGGGCATAGCTTGATCTGAAACATATTTGAAATTCGAACCGAAGACGGACTAATCAGATTACTGCCGTAACTGGCTTCTTTTGATTGACCGAACATACCGACTGTTGTTTGATTGCTGTTCCAGTCGAGAACACCATTATAGCGTGTACAGGGGATGAACCTCAACTCGTTCGGTTGTGTATTCCGTGCACACAGACGCACCCCGTGAAACTGTCGTTAAACTTCCCTGATCGCCTCGCTATGAAATCACCAGAGCGCATCTCGTGAAAACTGCTACAGTATGTCAGTCCAATTCGTCATTGTAAACTTTCCATGGTAAAGTAGATGGCCCACCAACAGGTGAAGTTTCTGTGTCTAACAGTTATTCCTCCTTCGTTGGTACGGGAAACCGTCAAGTACGTTATACCCGAAAGTCTCAGTCCTCCGTTTAGAAACCTCTTCTTTCATCTGTTAGGTTTTTCCTTCTATTCTCAAGTCACACATAAGATGCCTCTTGTTTCCAACCCTTCGGCTTATAGTTCAGTTGGGCTCATAAGAGAAGCTAATCAGAATCCGATTGGTTGATGGAATCAAGAGGTCGTGTTCACCTAACCGTATTCAACGTCCTCAGACTATCAGATTGATGAACAAGCTGTGTTATCTAAAATCATTGAAACCTTCTATGTCGACACTTACTGTGTCTCCGAAAGCAGAATATAAAGCTACAATTCAATTTTCACACTGTTCCTCAGATATAACCTTGTTCTCTCTTTTCACTCTTCGTGTATCGGGCGATTCGGCATCTGCCACTCGCTGTGTTGCTTACATCATGATAATTCTAAGTGTTACTGTTCAGCTCCGGCTACATGACTGGATTCCAGTCAGTCTAGTACTCGCTCTATGGTTTGATGGTTTAGTGTTGGTCAGCAGTAATCGAACGAGGTATTGCTGCTTACTAATAGGGTCCGCGTACTCACCGACTGATTGCAGTTTGCCTAAAACGAAGTATGATTCTTACAACTGCTCATCTCCGTTGCTGCAAAGCGTTCGCCCAAAGGACATCCTAGTTTTTACCGGTAACTTAAATGCTCGAGTAGGATCCTTGGACGAATCAAAAAGGTACCCGTTCCGCCCACATGCTATCCTATCCAACGGAACATATAACGGCGGTCGCCTACTTTAACTCTACACAGATTACGGTTTGTTTCAATAGAGTAACAATTGCTCACACAAATACTGTTCTCAGCTAGGCATTTATATCAGAGACAATTACCGACTAAGGATACTCGAGGCATTATCGATTGCTCACAACAAACCCACACTGTGCGTCCAAAAGTGTGACCTCTACCCTTGGCCTTCCCTGGTTTTGACCAATCACGTGCATCACACACACATATGGTTATACTATATAGATTTCTTAGTTCGCTTCATTTGTTCAATGTTATACGTACGCGACCGATGAGAGTATACGAAAGGAATTCCCCTCGCAGTGTTTGTCTTCTGACTTGCCTGCTCAAGTTGCATTACAATCTGCTAGCGCTGCTAGCGATTTATTTCTCCATGTGTACATGCTTTTGTGGATACGAAGAACGTTATGATACAAGCCAGAGCCTGCTTTCGCCTGATGAACAATCACACCACGCCTAATCTACCGAGGCCTTATGTGTTTCGCCACTCCAAGTTCTGCGGCTTTGTTTACCGGTTTCTACCATTGAACAGCAGGTCCTCGTGACTATGGGGTTCGCCCCGTCTGCTGTTCATCACACTTAGGTGTGTAATAAAAATATCGTTCTGGATCCGGATACCCACAGTTCAGTGTAGGCAACCACTGCAAATTAACCTTCGAATCCAATGTTTCTCGTCACGTCTCAGTTAAACCACTCGCCGAAAGACTGAATAGACGTTGGAAGCTGACTTCTGTCGAACAACCTACTTCATGACCAAGATATATACAATCGATTTCCTCGATCTCTGTTGTTGGCGGAACCATTTTCCCGAATACGGGCTATGATAACGAATAAATCTCTTAAACCTCAGTTCATTAAGAGAAATTACTTCAAGAAGTGATGACTAGCAAATTTTTAAAGGTGGGGAAGGCTATTGCTGTTGGCGTCAGTCTTAATCTTTCCGGCGAATCAGATATCGATCCACAGAAATAAAGCATGAAGGGGGGTAATTACGGAGTTTCAAAGCCCACAATTTCGACTGACGTTTATCGTTGTTAGATCCACTTGATTCTGACCAAGTGCGGCAGCTTCTACGAATCCTCCTTCGGAAAAAGAGGATATTCAAGAGATAAATTACTGCAAAAGGTACACAGCCTCTGATCTTGATGGTTATCCTCATCCAGCTTGAAGGATGAAGACAGCCTTAGTTTTGAAGTAAACCCATCGAGACTGCATCGACCATATTTTCACCCTCCACTCCACCCCCGCCGAATGCTGGAACAAATATATTCCTTTCGTAGGTATGCAATTTTCGCTCTTTCAAATCTTAGATGGTCAAGTTCAGTTCGAAGAACCATTAACCATGCACAATCGTGCCCCGATTTTGGTTGTTGTCTTTTGACCACCCATTTGGATGAACATAAGGAGAAAGACAGGAAAGGTTGATCGTGAGATCAAAGAGAAAATTCAGGATTTCATCGCACTAATTTTGTAGAGAAATTGAGAGGATGCACGAACGCCACTGTGTACGACACTCAGCCATACCGCTCAGTGTCTCTAACTATCGGTTACGATCACCCCGAGGTCCCCAGCCAGGGATCCTAACGGAACCTATGTGACCCAGTCTCGTGGTTAGGGTTTTCATACCCTCGTGCCAGGTCTTAGCTTGACCACTCTTGACTTTCTTCCACCAACTACCAGCCATGGCAAACATCGTTCGCTGTGGCAACCTATCTGGTGATGGTCAAGTGATTAAGGTTGACAAAATATCGACTTAACGGTCCCTGGTTCAAATCCCGCCACCGTCGTCCATTTCCATATTACCCCAAATAGCCTTTGCATGGCGACGGCCCGTTATCGTGAACGTCGATTGTACATTTGTATACTAGGTCGTTAAAAAAAGAATTAAAAGCATTTATTTTTTATCTATATTATTACCTAAAGATGCCATATGACTCAGTCAACCTCTCTATATTCCAGCACTACCTCTTCTCTAAAGGTGCACCCGAGAAGTTAATCTTTCTGTTGCGACCCTTGCACACGGATTGCTGAAACCGACTTTTACTTTACGAATCTTTTTCACTTTAGTTCACCATGAAACCTATTGTTCGTCAGGGTTCCCTCTCATTTTCCCCCTAAATTTGCATTAGATATCATTCTGTTCCTGTGCGAGGATAACCTCAATGATATGTTTCAACCTGACAGACTGTTTAACCTGTAGGATACAAACGACATTATACTGCTAAGGTACTCAAACTTTAACCTTTTATATGGGTATGAAAATTCGGACCAAGAGATTTATACGCGTAGGCCACATTTAACTTTCTGTAAAGGACCCCCCCTGGGGTCTGTGTAATCACAGGTTAAAGAAATTGAATGATATGGCTCAATGCGGTAAACGTTGTGCTTTCTTTTCATCTACTCAATATACTTGTAACCTTAGTCTACCTGAATCAGGCGGTAGTGGTAAAGTAGTTAAGGTCATTTCAATCCCATCTCGGAATCCCCGGGTTCGGATCGCTCCATCACTGCCCGTCTTCTGCATTTATGTATTTTTCCAGACAGCCTTTGTGTTTGGCCGCGGCACCCCAACCTGAAAGTTGACTGTGCATTGCATATTCAATAAATAAAAAAGATGGAATTCGTCATGCATAGAGCAAATGAAGCATGAACTGAAAAGCTAGGAAGCACAGCTGTTTTGACCTGTTTGGATCTCATCAGCCGTGCGAATCCATCGACCCAACTGAAGTTCGAACTCGAGACCTCACAGATAGAACACCGGCATGCTATCTACTCGGCCACCGGGCAGCAGACCAGACTGCTTTTATTCATTTTACATTTACACGATATAGCACAACCCATCTTCGCGAGCTTGTTGCAGGCATCGCCCCTCGCTCATCTCGTCGCTTGTCTCCGAGTTTATGACTCGATTGGAAACTTTTACAAACTGAGTACTTGTTTCATCAGAGTAATGTGGGATTTTATTCAATTTCATAGAGAAGGTTCGTCGTGTTTACAGCTGAGTGGGTAGCATGCTTGCGTTCTTTATGTGAGGTCCAGTGTTCGATCTCCAGTTTGGTCGATGGATTCGCACGGATTCGGATGGATTCGCTGATGAGACTAAATTAGGTCAAAGCAGCTGTTCAGTGCTTCCTTGCTTTTCGGTTCACAGCTTATTTGTTTTATGCACGACGATTTTTTTTCTTTTAGACTGAATCAAACCCTCTGTTACTCTCGTGAAATAAAAAGGACGTAAAGAAGACGGTGAATTTTTGGATTACGTCATTCGGTTTTTTACAGGCACTGGGCATTGTTGTCCAAAGTCGGTTATCACAAAAATTTCCATCGCAAATAAAAAAGATACTTTTCTTATTTTTTAACTTTCTATGTGATATCACTCCTTCTACACCTTCATCTTAACAGGTGACTATAAGAATGAAACCAGAATCACAACTTGAAAGTGCGAGCATGACGTTTTATTAACCGAACTGAACATATTATTATTTAGAACATAATATAAGAATCCAGTCCATCATTTTACGTCAGAGTTTAGATTTGATGCTTGTCGTATCAAGTGATAACATAAGTTAACACGATTGCCAGACAAAATGTTCTTGTGGAAAAACAATAATAGACTTTTTATGTGTCTCACTTTTCAAGAGAAACGAGCGCCCGCTGGTGGTGGGTTGTCTCTGCATCCTCTCGATTTTTCCCTGCGGTCTGGTCTGAGAACTGTTTCCTAGTCATGGTCCACTTGAGATTCTACTCTGTGCATCGAACCACACTGGACACTCTGAGAACAAGTACATTTGGGATTATGCGTGATGTGGCACTCGTCGTCAGAATCAGACAGAACTAACCCCCTAATGATATGACTTTTTCTATGTGATTTGACCGCGTTTTATCCCCTGTCCTATCTTTTCTCCCGCTATTCACTCAATTGAACTAAGCTGTTTATGTCTCATCTGTTTTTCAGTTAGAGACGGTCCCTTTAAACTATACAGTATGCGCGGAGAAGTGTTTACAACTCGCAGTGGACGCGTATTTGGCCTCCATCAATTGGTCAACACTGTCCCATGACGAAATGCTTCAAGCGGTTGTCGAGGTACGTGTTCACTTTATTCTCTGTCTCTCTGTTTTCAAGTTCTTCTGACTCAGTCTGGTCGTCTATAGTTTGCTGCTTTTTCTCTTGTCACGTGACTGACTCTTGTTTGCTCGCGTTAAACCACCGAGTTCACAGAACCATCAACTATAATCCGTGGAAACATTGTGTAACATTGTTGGAGCCTACTAAAGACTGATACGCTTGTTGTGTTTGCCTGTGGCTGGATTAATTGGTCGATCGGTTGATTGACAGATGCTGTCAGCTACCACACACACACTCCCAAGCCATGTGGATTGACTCTATTATAGTATCGTTCGACTTCAGCAAGTTAGATGTTAGTATTGAAATGTCTTCGCTGATTGCTTCGTTGACTGCTAGAACACCTGCTTGACCGCATTCGGATGTCATTTGGCGCTTCAGCCAGTTGTCGGCCTACCTGTCTGCCCTAGTGTGTGTT